AGACCAGGGAGACAGACCATGTATGCAAATGCCCAAGGTTTATTGATTGTTCTATCCTACCGAGGGAGGGACCCGGTCTAGCAAGCTGACACAGCAGCCTCCAGAGGGGGTGAATTTCCCTGTCTACTACTAGGTTTTAAAGACAAAAGTTACAGGATTACATCAGTAGGTACAGGTTGGTTTCTGATTGGTTGACATTTGGGAACAATCAGGAAAATTTCTCCAAGTCATATTTTGGCATGAAATACCTGTGTACAAGGTATTCTCATTGGTCAGTGCTGAGAGGGAACATTCTGTGCTTTCTATGGCTTTGTCTTGATACTTGGAGGTGGCCTGTTGTTCATAGATACCAATAGTTTAAAGAATTGTATCCGGCAGACTATAGGGGAGGTTTTGGTCTCCCCTGGAGTTTCTTTTGTGGCCAAACAGTTCCCAGGAACCAAGTACCTAGGAGGCTAGTGGGGGCGGGGGGTGGAAGGGAAGGAGGTCCTGGAGGTTTTTTTTTTTTTTTTTGTATTCAGTTTTGGCCCTAGAGGCCAGAGGATCTGGAGTTTCCTTGTGTCAGAGGCCTACATGTCTTTTCTGTAGCCTGTCATGGGGCTGAGTGAGGGTCAGGTCCCTTTATCCTAGAAGTGAAGCCTTTTAGTTTAGTTTACGCTTTTCAAGCACTAGTCTAGTCTTTAAGAAAGGGACATGTCGGGCTGGAGAGATGGCTCAGTAGTTAAGAGCACTGCCTGCTCTTCCAAAGGTCTCCAGAAGCCACATGGTGGCTCACAACCATCTGTAATGAGATCCGGTGCCCTCTTCTGGCCTGCAGGCATACATGTAGGGAAATACTGTCAATAAATCTTAAAAAAGAAAAAAAAAAAAAAAACCAGAATGAAAGAAAGACACATGTTGATGGTCATCGAAGTAGGGGTGGGAGGTTTTCTCCTCGAACCATGTGGATCCCAGGGATTGAACTCAAGCCATCAGGTTTGTCAGCAAGATCCTTTACTCACTGAGCTTTGATTAAGGCACCTTCTGATTGGCTCGATAAAAAGATAAATGGCCAGTAGCTAGGCAGGAAAGAATAGATGGGACTTCCAGGCAGGGAGAATTCTGGGAAGAAGAAAGGCAGGGACACTGACTGGTGAGACATGGAACAAGTCGGATGTGCAGAGTGGAAGAGGGAAAAGCCATGTGGTAGAACTCAGATTAATAGAAATGGGTTAATTTAAGTGATAAGACTTAGTTGGGAAAAGGCTGAGCAAAGGCCAAGCTTCCATAATTAATAATAAGTCTCTGTGTCATTATTTGCTAACAAGAAGGTACTACTACAAATGTTTTGTCTATGTTTCCAATTAGTGTATGACCTCAGGCAGTCACAAAAGAAGATTAACCTTTGACTGCACAGCCACTAGAATTTGCCACCTCACTCAGCATTGTGTTGCATTGTGTCAGGGTTGGTTTGTGTGACCAATAGAAGATAATTGTGATTGTGACTCCTAAAGCTGGCCCATAAAAGTGTTGCAGGTTGCATCATGCTCTCTCCTGAGAGAGCCAAGCCCATGCCATTAGAACACTTGGGCAGCCACCTGCATGGGCAAGAACTCGAGGTTTCGGGTCAGAAATTGTCTCAGTTAGGGTTTCTATTGCTGTGAAGAGACACCATGAGCATGGCAGCTCTTATGAAGGAAAACATGTAATTAGGGCTGGCTTACAGTTTCAGAAGTGTAGTCCATTATCATCATGGAGGCAAGCATGGCAGTGTGCAGGCAGACATGGTGTTGGAGAAGGAGCTGAGAGTTCTTACATCTTGACTCATGTTGCACCCCCAGCTCCCCACTAACCTCTTTTGTTTCTCTCCTTCTCTGGTCTCCGTCCTCCATCAAAGAGTCTTCCCTTTTATGTCATGGATGTACAAACACATAATTTTTCTTCATGTGAGAAAAAAATTGATTTTTATTTATCTTTCTGGATGTAGCTTATTTTATTTAACACAACGATCTCTGGTTCTATTTCTTTTCCTGAAAACGTTATATTTATTCTCCATTGAATAAGTGCTGTTAAAGGGACTGGCATAGCTCTGCTGGTAGGGCATAAGCAAAACTCTGGGTTTAGTCTCCAGCACCACATAAGCTGGCATGGTGACGGTTTCTGCAACTCCAACACGGCAGAGGTGGAGACAGAAAGACAAGAAGTTCAAGGCCATCCTCAGCTACATAGAGGATGACAGGATTGGGGATCACAGATTTGGACCCTAACTCATTAAACATATGCATTGATTTTGAAAACATAGGTTATGCTTGTTCTGTTGACAGTGGTTCATTATGCTTGTTCTTTTGACAGGGGGTGTTAGCTGCTGGATGCTTGCCTAGCATGCAGAGCCTCCAGTTCAGTTCCAAGCACCACATACACACCATCATCCACTATGCGGTGGGTTCAAGGCCAGCTTGGGATACGAGCTACCCTGTCTCAAAAAAAAAAAAAAAAATCACAATCTCTGAAGATTTCCCGTAAATCACACAGGAATTTGAACTCCATGGAGCCTTTGATGATGGAATGAGAAATGACACCAAGAGAAGCCTACTTCAAGGGACTTGTGTGGGACAACACAGAAAGATGCTAGGTAGAGCATAAGCAAAGCTTGGTCACTTTTTGTTTCCATGTCCCATGAGCTTTACCTCTGTGCAGTCATGAGATGCCACTGTCTGACCACTAAGATTCTAAGTGAATGCATGTCATGCTAAATATATTGCTGCCAGGAATCTTAATTTTTAAAACAAGAGAAACATGGGAGGAATGAGCCAGCTCATCTCATCGCTTCAGACACTGCACCTGTTTCTTTGCAGGAGCATCACAGTAGCCAGGGAGACGAGGTTAGGGAGAGGGGTGGGGTGTCCGGATCCTCTGCTCAGTGGTGTTCAGAAACCTGAGCCCTTCCTTTCAGTCAGCACTGCTGGGAAAACTGGTTTTTCAAAATCTAGGAGAGAACACGGGCTTTAGGTGCCCCAGAGATGTAGAAGGCTCCTCTCCAGTCTGCTCTTTAAATATTTTAGACCAGAGGGCTAACTCCCATGAGGCATTGTTCTCTGTTGTTTATGTAAACCTTTACCAGCCACAGAAGACACAGCTGGGAAGTTCCCCCAGAACAAGCCTTCTTAAGTCACCAATGGCTTCTCGATTTGACAGTGGATTGGACTGTCTTAACTAGACTACAAGTTAGGATTTGTTTTTAAGATTTTGTGTGTGTGTGTGTGTGTGTGTGTGTGTGTGTGTGTGTGTGTGTGTGATTGCTGCATGCACATATGTGTGTGCGTGTGCGAAAGTATACATTCTCATGTCTGAGGAGTATTACACGTGCGTAATACTGGGAAAATACCAGTAATACACACACACAAACACACACCACACACACACCACTTACTTCCTCCAGACAAGAGTCCTTCCCTGAACCTGTGCTAGACTAGCAGCTATGGAGCCCAGTGACCCTCTTTGTTTCTACCCTTGGTAGATTGGGTTACAGGCACAGGTGCCACCACGTCCAGCTTTTCACGTGGATCCTGGGTGTGGCTGCTCTTGGCCACCACTAAGTCTGAGTGTTGGGCGAAAGCCTGGAGATTTGGATGACAGACAAGATGCCTGGTCCACTTTCTGAGAGCATGTCTCTCACCTTTATTGTGGAGCAGCCTCATATACAAACTTACAAAAACCCCAGGTCAAAGGGTTCACAACAGGATATCGATCTTAGTGGGGTGAGGTCAAGAAAACAGGAGGTACCTGTGGTTGTGCTGGAAAACAACTCTTAGAGACCCCATGGGGCCTAGGTTCCAACACCTGGGGATTTGAACTCAAGTCTTAATGCTTGTAGAGCAAGCACCCATATCTATTGAGATGCCTCCATATATTTCTTATTTGATGTCCACACTAATGTTGCTCTAGGCCTCTACATTCTGCTTAAAGACAGAACTAAGACACGTGTGTTAAAGGCTGTGTTTCCTACACTTTATTCAGAACAATTACGCCGAGCTATTGTTTTACAACCTTACATTCCCGTAGCACCTTGTAGCATTTGAGAATATTTTAACATATTGTTTTTTAATCTCATAATGTGACAGTTACTTTTTTCATTGCTACTGCAAAATACCTGATGAAACTAAGGTAGGAAGAAAGGGTCCCTTTTGACTCGGTGGTGAAGAGTACAGTCTGTGACAGGACAGGACAGCAGGAGTGTGAGTCAGCAGTCACATGGCATCCAGACTCAGAAAGCAAGGGAAACATGAATTCTGGTGCTCCCCTTATACCCTGGTTTTCATTTGTCCCGGGACCCTGGATTCCCATGGTCAGGAAGAGCCTCCCTCCTCAGTGAAAGCTCCCTGGAAACAGATCAGACTCATCCAGAGGTCTGTTTCCATGGTGATTCTAAATCCAGTCAAGCTGACAGTGAAAACTAACCATCACAAACAATAGCTATGACCAAGGAGTTCTGTCCCCATCTTACAGATGAGGAAACAAGCATCCAGACAGGTTAAATATTTCACAAAGATTTCTGCACTAATAAACACACAAACAGCAACAAGTATGCAGATCTTTCTGGGTGTGGTAGTGCACACCTTTAACCTGGAACCGAGGAGCCAGAGCCAGGAGAATCTCTGAGGTCCAGGGCTGCTGGAGCTAAGCTGTGAGATCAAGGCCAGCCTGGTCTACATTGTGAGTTCCAAGCCAATAGAGATACACACTGAGTCTCTGTCTCCAAACAAGAAAAACAAAACAAACAACAACAACAACAAAAGCAGAGAATGTAATCAGTTGCTAAGAGTGCTAGCTTAGCATACATGAAGCCTGGAGTCCAATCCCCAGTGCATCTTAACATTGGATGTGGTGGCATATGTCTATAATCCCAGTACTTGGGAGGTAGAGGCTGGAGGATCAGAAGTTCAATCCAGCCTCTGCTACATGAGACCCTGCGTCAAATAAATACATACATAATTTTTAAAAAGATGTCAGTTTAGGGGATGGGGGATGTAGCTCAGTTGGTTGAGCACTTGCCTAGCATGCATGAAGCACTGGGTTCGATTCCCAGTATCCCCAAAACCAGACATGGTGGTGTTAGCCTCTCATTTCAACACTTTGGTAGAGGCAAGAGGATCAGAAGTTCAAGGTCATCTTTCATACGTAGTGAGTTCAAGGTTAGTTTGGATTGCATAATACCCTATCTCAAAAATGTTATTTTTGTATTTTTCATCGTGCATAGTTTACATAAATAAGTTTTAAATAGCACTCTAAGGCCAGTTTCCTTGTAAATCAGAACCCTGGTGTTCCTTTAGATTTAGAGTAAATCATTGCAGCATTTGGCACTAGAGGGCGCTCCATGAGAAGCTGGCTACACAGAGGCTGGGGAAAGCCTGCTAGAGCTGCAAGAGACCCAGCAACAGGAAGACGAAACAGGAAATAAACAATAAAAATCTACAGATAACATCACTGGGCCAGATGTCACAAGCTGCTTGATGGGCTATGAAAGAGTGCTCACCACCCGTGACAACAGCACTGACCTTTCAAACTATACCATTCAACCATTCAGCTTCACATGGCTGTCAAGCAGGAGAAGGTATAATTACCTCCACCTTATAGATTAAGAACCTGCAATTTAACAAGAGCAAGTGGTGTTTCTGAAGTCATAAGTACAGAGGTATTTTGCTATCAGCCTCTTTCAAGTGGTGTGTGCAAAACATGGGACAGTTGACCCTGTATCTTTCCATGCCTTCACTTGCAGAACTCAGAATCCCTATGTTGAAACTTTATTGTTCCACACTCTTGACTTTTCACTCCAGGATGAACAGTATCGGTGCAGTCATAAACATTACCTTTCTGGATCCCTCACTTACTCCATTCCACCCTTACTTACTGACAGTGTCTCCTCCCTTCTTTCTCCATTTCTGAAACCAGTGGGCTTTCACAGCTAAAGTCTTCATTGCCCTCCTGTGTCTTTAGACTACTCTGTGACAATCTTGACTGCTGGGGCTTCCTTGGCTGCAAGGAGAGCTCATCAATACTGGCTCATAACCCTTCATAAGGGTCAGAATCACCCAAACTTGTTCTCTATGCATAGTGTGATCCCAAGTCTGTCCTGTCACATTTCTTGAGCATCCTGAGTGATTGTGATGCAGGTGAGCTCCAAGTGGACAGGTCTCTCTGATTACATCCTTTGAATCTATTCACAATTCGGTATCCTGATCTGCATTTGTTGTTACCTTAAATGTTTTCTCAGGATAATTCATTTCTACATATTTGTTTCTCAAGAATGGGAGCTCTGGGACTGGGGATGTAGGTTGAAAGTTGACTTGCCTAGAGTGCACAGGCCCGGGATTTAAAAATCCTAGCCCAGCACCACATAATGCTAGGTGTGGTACTGGAGAGAGCTAAGTTGTTAAAGGCGCTTGCTGCCAAGCCTGATGATCCAAGTTCAAGCTCCAGACCCACATGGTGGAAGGAAAGAACCAACCCCCACATGTTGTCCTTGTTTCCCACATGCACACCATCACACATACATGCAAATAAATCAATGTTGAAAAAAAATAGGTAAGTTTGTGCGTATCTCTAATCCTAGCACTTTGTGGTTAGAAACAGGAAACTCAGAAAACCAAAGCTCTTTCTGACTATGTAGTGGGTCTAGTGCCAGCTCAGGATACAGGAGACCCTGTTTAAAAACCAAACAAACTATCTTAATTCATATAAAGATGGAAAGTGTGCTACGTTTGTGTCTGCCTTTGTGGTCAGGATGGGGCACCCAGAGGAACTGTGACATCATAGCTATTTCACCAACTTCATTTTCCCTGCAGATCTAAGTTCGCTGAACTGAATACTTACTTCTGGTTGTCTTTGATATGAAAGCTGCTATTCTAGACACTGGAGAATCAGGATGTGTTGGGGGATGAGGACACAGTTCACTGACAGAGCAGTTGCCTAGTATTTGTCCAGAGCTGGATCCCTAACATTAAAGAAAAATAAAAAGTAAGCTACAGTTCCTCAAACTGAATGTCTAGTAGTTAAAGTGAAACCATCTTGAGATCTATATGCCAGTGTGTTTAACTCTTAGTAGGAAACAAGAAATGATACTGTTCCACTCTTAGGAGAGTTCAAATGAGTCTGGATCTTATAATGGATATGTTATGTAAGACTGTAGCTTGGTCAACAGAATGCTTTCTCAGCATGCATGGAGCCTGAGTTTGATTATGTGACCTTCCTGGCCTTAAGAAGCCAGGAAGCATAATGGGACAAAGCCTGGTTTTAGATTGCACAAGACTTATACTGGGGTACAATAGTCTCTTGCTAACGATGATGCTACTGCCCATCTGGGCTGTGTTTAAAGGTGGGCCAATAACAACACCACCAACCTGGTGCATGCAATCAACTGGGCATTGCTCTGTGCTGGGTGCTGCGCTGAGCACTTCCACACTATCTAATACAAATGCCAGAGTCATTCTCCTTTTACTGCTGAAGAAACCACCAGTTATGCACTACATGTTTGTGCCCCTAACCCCAAATCATAGACTGAAGCTCTGATCCCCAGCATAGTTGTGTTTGGAGAAGGAATCTCTAAGGTTAAATGAGACACTCTTCAGTTGAAATAGTGTCCTAAGAAGAGACACCTGAGAACTAGTCTTGCCCAAAAAAAAAGCAGACTTCAGCAACCCAAAGGTAAAGATGTCACAAGACACTAAGCCTTCAGCACTTTCTTCTTGGACTTTGCCTCCAACACTTCCAGAAAACCTATGTGTGTTGTCAAAGCCACCTTGTTTATGGCATTTTGTTCTAGATAATTATGTCATAATTATCTAGACATATAAGGGTTCCCATATGCTTCAGATAATTTTGTCATAACTTGGGGAGGGTATTCTGCCTGACACAGATAACAAGTGGTACGCCAAGGACTTGAACTTAGGACTGCCAGTGAGTAAATAAGATAATGCCGATAAGTCAGAATGGTGGTACCTACCTGCAATCCCTATACTCTGGAAGCAGAGGCAGGAGGATTGCCTGGAGTTGGAAGCCAGCCTGAAACTGCATAGCAAAATCCTTTCTTAAAACCAAAACACAGGGCTGGAGATATGGCTCAGGGGGTAAGAGCACTGATTGTTCTTTCAGAGGTTCTGAGTTCAATTCCCAGCAACCACATGGTGGCTCACAACCATCTGTGATGTGATCTGGTGTCCTCTTCTGGCATGCACTGCATACATGATAAATAAATAAATAAACCAAAACACAAACACTCAAGCAAACACACATAGCCACATTTGCACACTAATTTATTCTGCAATATTATTCATTACACTAAGTACTAGAACCAATGTAGGTGCCAACAACAGAGGGATGGATAAAGAAAATGTGCTCTATACACACAATGGATTTTTCTTTTTCTTTTTCTTTTTTTAAAGAAAAGCATAGAGAAGAAAAGAGGCATGGCTCAGCAGTTAAAGGCACATGCTGTTCTTCCAGAAGACTGAGTTTCCCCAGCAGGCAGACTGAGTTTGAGAACAGCCTCCTCTTGAGTGTTGGGATTAAACTACCCTGGCTCACATTAAAAATAAAAAAAAATCTTTAAACAATCTGTAAAGTCACAATTGTCTAGAGGGATAAAGGACAAGAGAGAGAGAGAGAGGGAGGGAGGGAGGGAGGGTCAGGGTAACAGGATATGGGTGAGAATGTGCACAATGTACAGTAAAGACTTGGATGAAAACTTCAAAATTAACATAATTTAATAAAACACCCCAAATATATCTAGTATGGATAAAATCCTGGTAAGGTGTGTGATAAACTATAAGTGTTGGTCAAGCTGATGAGTTGTAACAGACCGGAAGGGGGCATTGAATATTGATTGAGAAGAGACGAGAGAGAAGACAAGAGTCCGGAGGGCTCTCAGTGCCACCACCAGAGTCCTCTAGGCTTCAAAGACTCCCAGGCTCCAGCTGGGTTCCCAGACTGGCACATGTGTCCCCACATTTGTGAAGTGGCTGCCCCTATCTACTCTGTTTCTGCCTTATTCATGGCCTGCTGGGATAACATGGCTTGACCTCTGGTAAGGAAGGCTGAGGCTAGACCTGGAGTCACAGAAGTTACCACTGGACACTTCCAAAATATGGACCACAACTCTATCATAACTACAGCACTAGGAGGACAACCCCAGACCTGGGTGCCTGGTGTGGTTGGCATCATTACTGAGGGTGACAGTTGTCAAAGGAGAGCTGGATCCTAACACTGGACATGACAAACTCAGGCCAAGTGCACTGTACCTACAAAGGCTGGGGATATGGCTCAGTTGGTGGGGTGCTTGCCAGCCCACATAAACATCATCACTGTAGAAAACAGTATAGGGATGCACACCCGTGACCTCAGCACTCATGGGGGTGCACAACTATTACCTCAGCGCTCATGGGGGTGCACACCTGTGACCTCAGCACTCAGGAGGGAGAGGTAAGATGATCAGAAGTCTCAGGTAATCCTTGCTACAAACTGAGTTTAAGGCCAGCTTGGGCAACATGAGAACCCATCTTAAAGAAAGAAAGAAAAAAGAAAGAGGGGGGAAGGAAAGGAAGGAGGGGGAGGGAGGGAGAGAAAGAGAGGAAAAAAGAGGGCAGAGAAAGAGAGGGAGGGCTTAGAAAGAAAAGAAAACAGCATCTCAGTGTGACCCTGGGAGCTGCACTCTGTCCTTGGAGGGCTCTTGGTCCTGCCCCAGCAGGTCTGTGAGTGGAGATTCTGAAGCTACCCCCACACTTCATCCTTACTTCTTTCTAAAAGCTCTGCGCTTCTAGCACTTGTTCTTAGGCTATTTTTAACTTGTCCTTTCTTTTTAAAAATTATACCAGAGGGGCTTAATCAGCCCCATTTGGCTTTGTGTAGAAAAAGAGAATTTGCAGACATTACCCAGTAACAGCTACTGAACACCATAGCTTGCTGGCACGCCTCTGCAACCAGCCTTTTCCTCTTCAGTGCCATAGTTTATTTTTGGATAGCAGTCTCCACATATCACACAGGGGTTCACTGTGAACCTAGAAGAAACTGAAGATATAGATGAAGAAGTTAGAAAAGCCAGT